GCGCCCCCCCCTGCCACTAGCATGGCACCCCCAAACTAGGGTAGGAGCACCCTGGGGCTGTGCTGGAACGTGCTGTAGTGGTTCAGGACAGCCCTGGACCGTCCTGGTTTGGCTGGGGTGTGGGGTGACACCTTGCTATACCCCAAAACCGGGCAGTGCCAAGCGTGGATGCTGGGAGGGGACGGGGACCTTCCTCTGACCATCCTGTTCTGCAGGTCCTACCTGGACATGGCAAAGGTGGTGGTCTTCCGCTACCTCTTCTGGTTTGTCCTGGTGGTGGTCTTCATCACGGGGGCCACCCGCACCAGCCTCTTTGGCCTGGGCTACCTGCTGGCCTGCTTCTACCTCCTCCTGTTCGGCACTGCCATGCTGCGCAAGCCGGCGCAGGCCCGCCTGGTGCTCTGGGACTGCCTCATCCTCTACAACATCACCGTCATCATCTCCAAAAACATGCTGTCGGTGAGGGCTGCTGGGCCCGGGCCGTGCCGTGGCCACTGGGCTGCTCCTCGGGGCCACCTGGGCATCCCCTGGGGAGGGGATGAGTGGCAGTGCCATGTTGCTGTCACCGTCCCTGGGTGAACCCCACACTCTGCCCTCTCTCTCCCTGCAGCTCCTCTCCTGCGTCTTCGTGCAGCAGATGCAGGACAACTTCTGCTGGGTGATCCAGCTCTTCAGCCTGGTCTGCACCGTCAAGGGCTACTACGACCGTAAGTTGCTGGCTTGGGAGTGGCAACTCAGTTGGGGTTGGGGGTGCAGGCTTGGGCTGCTGCCTGACCTGCCTGTGTCTCTTCAGGGGCTGTTCCGCCTGCAGAAGAGAAGGCTCCAGGAAGACCTTAGAGCATCTTCTAGTACCTGAAGGGGCTCCAGGAAAGCTGGGGAGGGACTTTGGAGAAGGGCAGGAGTGGGATAAGAGGGAACTATTTTAAGCTGAACAAGGGGAGACTTAGATGAGATAACAGAGAAATTCTTTAGTGTGATGGTGAGACCCTGGCCCAGGTTGCCCAGAGAAGCTGTGGCTGCCCCATCCCTGGCAGTGTTGAAGGACAGGTTAGATGTGGCTTGGAGCAATCTGGTCTGGTGGGAGGTGTCCCTACCCATGCAGAGGGGTTGGATCTAGATGATCTTTAAGGTCCCTTCTAGCCCAAACCATTATTTGGTTCTATGATTCTTCCTGCCAGCCATTGAGATGGGCAGGGACCACGACTGCTCGCTGCCCGTGGAGGAGGCAGGGATCATCTGGGACAGCATCTGCTTCTTCTTCCTCCTGCTCCAGCGCCGCATCTTCCTCAGCTCTTACTTTGTGCATGTCATGTTCGACCTCCGGGCCTCTTCCCTGCAGGCCTCCAGGTGGGCTGGGGGGTCCTGAAGGGTGCCTGTGGGTGCTGGGGTGCTGGTGCCCCCCTCACTCTCCTGTTGTCCCCACAGGGGCGTCGCGCTGTTCAAGGCCAGTGCCCTGAAGAGCATCCGCACCCACCGGCAGGCCGAGAGGAAGTCGCTGGCCCAGCTGAAGCGGCAGTGAGTGGTTTGGGGGGAGCAGGGGGGAGCACCTGGGACCCCCCCACCCTGCGGCCCACCAGCACCTTGGGGGCAGCCCTGTGCGTGGTGGGAGTGCCCCTGAGGGGGGGGTTGGTTTGGAGGAGCGGGCACCACAGCGGGTTCTGCTCTGCAGGATGAAGAGGATCCGAACCAAGCAGTGGAAGTACCACCAGGGGTGGTGGTCCGGCACCTCCCTCCAGGGGCAGCCCGAGGCCAGGCAAGGTGGGCACCTGGGAGTTCCTCCCTGTCCCCCCGCTTCTCGAGGCAAAGCAGGGTGGCTGTCCTCCATCACTGATACCTGCCCCCCAGAGCATTGCCATGAACTCCCACCTCCCTGACCCCCCAGCTCACCCCCGTGCTGGGGGTGGGTGCACTGAGTGTGGCCGTCCTCAGCCCCCCAATATCCACCCTTCCACAGTGTACCAGAGCCCGGCGGACCCTTCCCAGCAGAGGGAGCGGTGGTGGCGGCCCTGGTTAGACCACGCTGCAGGTACTGCCCCAGTGTGGGGCCAGAATGGGGCAAAGCCCCTCGGCCAGGTCCCTCTGCTGGGGACCACTGACACCCAAAGGTTGGGTTTGGGGTTATCAGCATCGGTCACCAACAGTGTGACCTGATTTTGGGGATGTGGGAGTCAAGCCTTTGTCCCCAGTGGGGATCCCCATGGATGTCCTTTGTGCTGAGCAGAGCCCTGGGGGAGATGGCAGTGGAGCAAACCTGAGCACCAGCCATGCCATGACACCCGGTGCCGTGTCACCAGCCATGCTGTGCCACCCCAGGCCGTGGTGCCAGCCGTGCTGTGACAGCTGTACCTCCCTGCAGTGCTGCATTCAGGGGAATATTTCCTCTTTGAGTCGGACAGTGAGGAGGAGGAGGAGGCGGCGCCAGAGGAGCGGCAGCCGGGCAGGCAGAGCGCCTTCCAGGTGAGCGTGGCTGAGGGTTTGGGGGGGTCTTGTGATGCCCCCAAGGTGCTGACACCCCCTCTCCCCCACCCAAGCTCGCCTACCAGGCCTGGGTGACCAACACCAGGACAGCTTTGAGGCGGCAGCAGCAGGAGCAGCCGGAATCGCCTGATGCCGAGTTTACTGCAGGTGGGTCTGGCTCACCCCAAAATGGGACTGGGGGGGACAGGAGGGGGTGCAGCCCTGCCCCACACCTGCTGTTTGCATCCCATAATGGGGCATCATCTCAGCTGGGCTCCCAGTGTGTGTGTGTGTGTGGACTCTCTGATGGCTGCAGTGGGGTTGGGGACAAGCTGTGCCACTCTCCTTTGATGCCCCTGCTGATTTTTAAGCAGGATGGGGAGGGGGGGACGGGGTGATGGGTGGGGGCCAGAAATTACGTCCATCCTCCACTGAGCTGGTGCTACCCCTTTCTGGGGGATGGGTCTGACCTTTGCAGAAGTCCATGAAGTGAGTGAGGAGGAGGCAGCTGAAGAAGTCCAAGAGGAAGAGGAAAGCTCTGGTAGGTGGGAGGCAGAACCACTGGTGGTGGGTGGGGGGAGATCCAAGTGGGCACAGAGTGACCCCCTTTCCCTTCTTCTCACCCCAGCGGCTCGGAGCAACGTGGTGCAGCGGGTGCTGAACACACTGCGGTTCCTGTGGGTGCTGTGCCAGGCCTTGGTGGACGGGCTGACCCAGTGGCTGGACGCCTGCACCCGGGAACACGCCAACATGTCCAACATCCTGCGCCTGGAGAGATACATGCTGGCCCGCCGGCTGGCCAGGGTGAGCCCGGGGAGGGGGGACACACACTGGGACACAGTGGGAGGGGGGGTGGCAGCCCCCATGTGGCACTGACCCCCTGCCCTGCTGCAGGGAGAGGAGGTGAGCCGTGGGCTCCTGGATGGGCTCTACCTGCCACCGCCAGAGGAGCCCCCTGAGGAGGAGGACCTGGAGGAGTCTGGGGATGCAGACCCCCAAAATGGCATCGCTTCCAGGCAGGTGCATAGAGACCCCCTCCGAGGGGGCAGTGGGCAGGGACTGGTGCGCAAGGAGCTCACCCCTGTCCCCACGCTGTCCCCAGGACCCTGACAGACCCCCCGCTGCCCACCGACAGCCAGGAGCAGGTGACAAGTCTGAGTTCCCAGGAGGACGTGGCCGGGTCTCAGGAGCTCCTGACCCTGCCTGGGAACCGCAGGCGGACAGCCAGTGAGCTCCTCCTGAGCAGGTATGGGGACATGGGGAGAGGGCTGGGGGGGAAGGTGGGGCCAGCTCACCCCCCTGTCACCCCACAGGCAGCTGTTCATCCCCGAGCTGGAAATGTCAGAGCAGTTTTATCGGACCCACAACCGGTTCCTGAAGCTGCTGCTGGCTGGGTACCGCTGCGTGGCCGCCCACTCCGAGCTGCTCTGCTACTTCATCATCATCCTCAACAACGTGGTGACCGCCTCCATCATCTCCCTCTTCCTCCCCATCCTCGTCTTCCTCTGGGCCATGCTCTCCATCCCCCGGCCCACCAAGCGCTTCTGGATGCTTGCAATCATCTTCACCGAGGTGGGCAGAGGGGGAGGCCAGGGAGGGGATGATGCCACCCGGCCACTGGATGTCACCTACTGACCCCAATGTCCCTGCAGGTGATGGTGGTGGTGAAATACCTCTTCCAGTTTGGGTTCTTTCCCTGGAATGACTACGCCACGCTGGTGCGCGCTGAGGGCAAGCCCTTCTTCCCGCCCCGCATCCTGGGATTGGAGAAGAACGACAGCTACCTCAAGTATGACCTTGCCCAGCTCCTGGTGCTCTTCTTCCATCGCTCCCTGCTGCTGGTGAGCCCTGGGGCACGGGCACCATGGTGGGCGTCACCTGAGTGGGTGTCCCTGGGAGCTGGAGGTGCTGCTGGGGGTGGTGGAGGCTCTGGAGAACACGCAGTAGGTGCTTGGTAGCTCTGCCTTGGTTTCCACCCAAAGCACCCATTGCTGGTTGGGTCCCTGGGGTGTAATGATGCTGCAGGATGGGGGTGAGGGGTGTGGGGCTGGGGGGCATCGGGAGCCCTGTCTGCCTGACCACGACCCTCCCCAGTCCTATGGACTATGGGACCTCGAGGAGAACACCTCCAAGAAGAAGACAGAGGCGGAGCAGGTGGAGGACGAGGAAGAGGAGGAGGAGAAGTGGGAGGAAGCAATGTCTGTGCCACTGGTAATGGGTGAAGAAAGGACAGAGCCGAGAGCACCAGGAGCAGCAGTGGAGACGGAGCCAGAGAGCGTGGGGCAGGAGGAGGGGGCTGGGGACACCCAGGTCCACTTGAGGAGGAGGAGGTGGGGGAGGAAACAGCCAGAGGTGGCTCCAGAGGAAGGTGAGTGGTGGTTCCCATGCTTCTTGTCTCAGCAAGGGACAAGGCTGGTGTCCCCTGGGGCAGGGCAGGACCGCAGGGTGGTCACCTGTGTTATGCTTCACCCCCAGCCACTGGATGTAAGGAGGAGGAGGAAAAGGAGGAAGAGGTAGAAACAGAACAGAGCCACGTTCAGAGGAAGCTGAAAGTGTTTGAGCTGCGCGTCAGGCACTTCTTCCGCACCATGTGAGTGCTCCACAGTGCTGGTTGGGGTGAGGGCTGTGGGGTGCAGCCCTGTCACCTGTCCCCTCTGTCCCCTTCAGGGTGCAGAACACGTACCAGCCGGTGCGCGGGTTCTTCCGGGACATCCTGCACACACAGCACCGGGCGGCCACCGACGTCTACGCCTTCATGTTCCTGGCTGATGTGGTTGACTTCATCATCATCATCTTCGGCTTCTGGGCCTTTGGGGTGAGCAGGGGGTTCCTGCAGGGCAGCCAGGGGCTGGCTCCCACTGCAGGGTCACTTCTGACCTTTCCTGCGTCCCCAGAAACACTCGGCAGCCACCGACATCACCTCCTCGCTCTCGGATGACCAAGTGCCAGAGGCCTTCCTGGTCATGCTGCTCATCCAGTTCACCACCATGGTCATAGACCGTGCGCTCTACCTCCGCAAGACTGTGCTGGGCAAGCTCATCTTCCAGGTCATCCTGGTCTTCAGCATCCACCTCTGGATGTTCTTCATCCTGCCGGCCGTCACCGAAAGGTACCAGGCATCCCCTGAAGATGTCCCCAAGGGCACCACATGGCTCTAAGGTGGCACCTTTGTGGGTCACGTGGTGGCCCAGCCTGGCTGGGGCAGTGACTGAAGGGGTTGACACCTCCTTCCCACAGGTTGTTCAACCTCAACACAGTGGCCCAGCTGTGGTACTTTGTGAAGTGCATCTACTTCTCACTGTCAGCCTACCAGATCCGCTGTGGCTACCCCACCTGCATCCTGGGCAACTTCCTCACCAAGAAATACAACCACCTCAACCTCTTCCTCTTCCAAGGGTATGGGACGGGGCCGTGTGGATCCCTGGCTGCCCTGAGGGTGCTGTACCAGCCCCCTCTGCATGTGTCCCCCCCAGGTTTCGTCTCGTGCCCTTCCTGGTGGAGCTGCGGGCTGTCATGGACTGGGTCTGGACGGACACCACGCTCTCCCTCTCTAACTGGATGTGTGTGGAGGACATCTATGCCAATGTCTTCATCATCAAGTGCAGCCGTGAGACAGAGAAGGTATGACCCTGCTGTGCTGGGAAGGGCCCCCCAGTAAGTTGCTTGGGGTCCCCCCCTGAGCTCACCATGTGCTGTTTACTCCACCCCCCCCCCCAGAAAAACCC